GCTTTCAATCGATTAAAACCCTTTAGAACCCATTATGACCGATCAGATTTGAAATATGAGCGATCAGAACTTATTTCAATCGATTAAAACACGTTTCAATCGATTAAAATCACTTAAAGGGTCAGAATGATCGATCAGAATGCAGTTATGACCGATCAGAGTTGGTTATGATCGATCAGAATTGAATTATGACCGATCAGATCTGTTTCAATCGATTAAAACACATTTCAATCGATTAAAATAACTTGCAAAATTTTTGTACAGAGTTTCAATCGATTAAAACGCGTTTCAACCGATTAAAATAACTTGGAAAATTTTTGTACAGAGTTTCAATCGATTAAAACGCATTTTAATCGATTAAAACAACTTGGAAAAATTGTGTATAGAGTTTTAATCGATTAAAACTTCTTTTTATCAGTTAAAATAACTTGAAAAGTTTTATAAGAAAGTTTTGCAGTATATCAATCGATTAAAACACGAAACAATCGATTGAATCAAACTTAGAAAAGTTTTGTTAAGTGTTTTAATTGATATAACCGTTGCAGTATCAACTAAAACAATTATGTTAAAGAAACAAGAACGCATTAATGGATTGAAAGAACTTTTAACAGATTGAAACGACTATTTCAACAGATTAAAACAAACTTTCAACAGATTAATTAATGCAGCAATTTTTGAAATTACTCTTTAAAAACAGTTTTGCTTGAACTTTTTAAACATACATTGAATATCAGTTTTAACACATCCTAAGCAATCATTCAAGCAACCTTTAGCATCCTTTTTCAAGAAAGATTCGCAACAGTTTTTAGAAGTTCTTTTGAAAATCTTTCTTGAGGCAACTTGCATACTTTTGAAGAAGAAACTCTCTGCAGATTTGGATAAACTGGTTTGAGCTTTCTAGTTTCTTCTTTGTAAATTCTTTTTCATTCTTTTGTATTGTGTTGTGCCTGGAATTTGGGCACAAGTTTCTCTGCAGCTGGAAGTTGGTTGTGGAGGTTATCAAGAACTGGAATTTGGTTCTTGGTGAAAGGTTTGGTGCCTGGAATTTGGGCACTGGTTTCTCTGCAACTGGAATTTGGTTGTAGAGGTTATCAAGAGCTGGAATTTGGTTCTTGGTGGAGAGGTTAAGTGCAGGAACTGGAATTTGGTTCTTGTGTTAGATTAGGTGTAAGATTGTTGAATCTGTAAAACATTTAATCTAGTGGAACCCAGCTGGAATTTGGCTGGAGACTGGACGTAGCCCTGGTATTGGGTGAACCAGCCGGTGATATCTTCCTTAACCTTTCTCTCATTTAAATTTAATTGTTGCGCTTATTTTAATTGATTGTTTTGAGATTCAAGAATAGATTAGTAAACTTAATTTTCGAATTAGATAATCTGTTATTTGCGAAAAACTTTCAAAGATCAATTCACCCCCCCTCTTGATCTAAAACTACTTTTCTAACAAACTTCATTTACACACTCTCTCATCTTCACTTAAGCTTCTCTTTTGAAACCCTATCCCCCATTGCTCACAAAAATCCTCTTGTTACTCATTTTCTCCACAATCTTCTTCTTGTTACTTTAATTTCATGGCTTTTTCCACTGCAAAACCAAAAAGAATGAAAAGAGCAACTTCAAAGAGACCTCCAAGAACTGCTTCTGCAGAATGATGGATAAGTGATGATGAACAAAGGGAGGGCTTTCTTATTCACTGGAAAGAGAGAAGACTCATCACTCATAAGTACCTATCTATCTCATTTTTTAGAAGCAATGGTTTCCTATTTCAAGACTTGTTAATTTATCAAGGCTTAGAAAAATTTATTGAGATGAATGAGATGTTTTACCCTAACTTAGTTAAAGTCTTTTATTAATATAAAGACTGTTAATGGAGTTATTCAATCTAGAGTTAAAGGGGTAGAAATATTACTAGATGAGGAAATATGAACAAATGTTACAGGTTGTAGAATAGGAGGAGAGAACATTACTGATGGCTTTAAAAACTTTAATAAGCTAGCTGTTTTTAGATCTTGTCTTAGAAACCCAAACATTGCCAGAAATTATTTTATCTACAAGACTGGTGTAATGAAAAAAGATAAAAGGTTGTTAGCTTTTGTAATTACCTAGGTTCTTGTTGCCAGGGGGATCAATCATGCCCAATTGACCTCTGAAGACATGTATATAATGCATGATCTTAAATCAAGATTTCAGATTGATTGGTCTACTGTTCTTAGTGATAATATGAGAAAATTATATAGGCTGCCTTTGTATCCATTACCTTATTCTGTTTTTCTGTAAAGAGTTTTTGACTATGTTGGTGTAAATGTGGAGGAAGAATCGTTTACCATCATGAATCATGCAAACACAATAAGAAAATATGCTCTTCACCACATAGGGATGGTAAAGAGAGATGATGGTTGGTTCTTCAAAGTTGAGGAAAAATTTGTTGATGAAGGAGTAGAATCCATCAATGTAAACATTCCTACTTCCTCTACTGAAAGTAATTTTACTGCTTTTAAATGTTAGAGAAATTAGATAACATACATCTTTGGCAAAAGGAGAAGCATGAATATTACTGCTCCAAATTTGACAATTTGGATGACAAAGTTTCCTCTATTTTGTCCACACTACAACAAGAACAATGTGACACTGAAATGAAATGGAAAATGAAGGAAGAGATGATGAAGATGCTAGAACAGTTGAGCTATCCTCAAAGGATGATGGATGATTAATTGCTTTCTTTAATCATATGTTTAATCTGTTTGAACAATTTTTTTGTTGGATTGTAATATTTGACATATTAATTTGTTAGTTTGTAACTTTGATACCTGAAATAACTTAACTATATTATTACTCTTCCACATTATGTTTAACCTTTTTTATTAAGTCCAAAGGGGAGAAGAGTTCATTGCAAGGCTGCTGAAAAATTCTTTGTTGGACTGTTGAAAAATGTTGTACAAAGAAAATGCAATGCTGATTGGTCATCATAAAAAAATAGGGGGAGATTGTTAATGAAGAAAGAAGAATGGTTGAAAAATAATTTTTTATGATGTCCTTATAGATAGCTAGGTAATTGTGTGAGTAGTTTTTATTAAAGCCAAATGATTTAATATTTGTTTAAAAAAAAAAAGTAAAAAGTTAAAACTAATCAATTATGTTAAAACTGAATCAATTAAATATGTATTAATCAATTAGATAAGTACTTGATCGATTATATGACTTAAATTCATGTTTTCATATTATACGTTAATAATCAATTATGTTGTCATTTAATCGATTACGTGACTACATCTCTGCTTTAACATCACGCGCTAATAATCAATTATGTTCGTACGCGTACCTAATTGATTATATGATTTATTTTTAGTCTGTCACTGTACACAAATAATTGATTAGATGTTCTGTTAATGGATTATCTGAATCAGTTGTAACATATTTCAACTCTATTAAATGATGTAAACTTTTTTTAATAAATCACATCTTTTAGAAACTATTGAAGCATTAAAAAGAATGTATTTGTAGGAATCAAGAAAACGTTTGTGATTCTGTAGAACGTTTTAAAGAAAACCAAACTCAAGAATCAGTTGTAATAGATTTCACCTTTATAAAATGATGTAAACTTTCTTCAATAAATCACATCTTTTAGAAACTATTAAAGCATTAAAAAAAGGTCTTTGTGGGCATCAAGAAAATGTTTGTGATTTTGTAAATTGTTTTGAAGAAAATCAAACTCAAAGAAGAGATTATTCGATGGCGAGTGGCGAATCTTCTTAGGAACCGAGGGGGTCGTGACCCCAAAGTTTTGTAACTCTCATGTAATTTATGATTTTGGCCCCCAAACTTTAATATATTTACTTGTATATTTATAATTTTATTCTCTCAGCCTTTCCTTAGTTTTATAACTTTTATATAATTTATGATTTTGTCCCCCAAACTTAATGATCATTTTATATATTTACTTATACATTTATAATTTTATTCTCTCACCCTTTCATTTTTTTCACCCTTTTATATTTATTTATTATTTTTTAATAATATATTATTTGGGCCCTAGAATGGTCAAGATCCACCACTTGTTTGACGATAGGATACATAACTCTAAAAGTCTTAATTGAAATCGATACTATCTTTCTTATATTTATTTAAGTTAAATATTATGTATTACATAGATAGCTTGATATGAACTTTTTATATATTATTTGCATCAATTTTAATTTTTTATATTTATCAAACTTATTAGTACTTTTAAATAATAACAAAAAATTATATTGATTTATCTTATATACATTTTCTTTTTAAATTATTATTTTTTTCCCTTAAAGAGAGAGATTTATTCTTAATTGTTATTATATTTTTTTAAATTATTATTTTTCCATTGAAACGTGTTTTCTAACTCTTTTAATGGGTTAGAAAATTCAACGTGCCGTCACATCAAATTTGGTTTACACAGACTTAGGAAATCATAAGTTTTTGCAGACATTTTATTTAAATATAAATTAAATTTTCATATTCCATGCTTTAGTGAAATCTCATTCCTTGAAAACATCATTATTAAAAAAAATATTGGAGATGTGAATATTAAAAATGAAGGTGCTAAAAAGAAATTAAAAAAGAAGTACATTATTCTTTTATATATTATTTGCATCATACACAATACTTTTTTTAAACTACATTAATCAAATTATATTAGTACCTTTAAATAATAGAACCAAAAAAAAAAAAATTATTGGACATTATTCTTTTCCTCTATGTTTTCTAAGTCTTTTAATGGGTTAGAAAATCAAGTGTGCAATCGCATCAAATTTTGGAAACTAATTGCATTGACTTTGAAATTTTTTTGTCTTCTTAGAAAATTTATATAAAAACAAATTAAGCTTTATGTTTCTCGTGTTTTAGCAAAATTAAAGCATGTAGATTTTTCTCAAACAAATAGAAATGCCGAAATTAATTAGAAATATACAATTAGGTTCCATTAAATAGTAATAAAAAAGTTAAAGAATAACATTACACGAGTTAGAAACATGCAAAAGAGTGAGTTTCTTGCGTACAATGATTTCAGAAGTTATGATATACTGAATTTTAATTTAAATATTATATATATTAGATAAATAAGTAGATCCATATACTCTATTAAAAATACAAAAACCTCGTGAATGGAGAATTTACAACTCTGTCCATTAGCCGTATTATATATAAGTTGGTTTTCTCTTTCATACTTCACACCCTTCCTTCTACTCTTTATTTTTTCATATCACCAAATATATAATGCACACTTATTTTCTCAAACTGTTTTATGCACTGCTCCTGCTTTTATTGCATGCTGCAGGATCCATTCTTGGATTCAACAACAGTGCGAAAGTAAAGTGCATAGAGAGGGAGAGACAAGCACTCCTCACTTTCAAACATGCCCTCATTGATGTCCATGGCATGCTCTCTACATGGAGGGATGATGAGAACAGTCGAGACTGTTGCCAATGGAAAGGCATTCAATGCAACAATCAAACAGGTCATGTACGCATCCTTCATCTTCCTGGTCAGGATACACAATATTTGAGAGGCGTAATCAATTTCACTTCATTGATTGCCTTGCAAAATATTGAACATTTGGATCTCAGCAACAATTATTTTGAAGGGAGTCACATCCCAGAACTTATAGGCTCACTCACCAACTTAAGATATCTCAATCTCTCCCATTCTTATTTCGGTGGCAGCATTCCTGCCCACATTGGAAACCTTACATATTTACTGTCTCTGGATCTAGGTCGCAACTTTTATCTCTTTGGAGAAATCCCTTATCAACTTGGAAATCTTACACATTTAAGGTATCTGGATCTATGTGATAATTATCTCGATGGGGAACTCCCTTATCAACTTGGAAATCTCTCACAGTTGACGTATCTTGATCTTAGTGGAAATTCATTTTCTGGAGCACTCCCTTTCCAGGTTGGTAATCTTCCTTTGTTGCACACTCTTAGACTTGAAGGTAATTTTGATGTCAAACCTAAGGATGCAGAATGGTTGTCTAATCTCTATTTTCTAACAAATCTTGCCTTGCATTCTTTTCATAATATTGACTGGCTACATATGATCGGTAAGCTTTTTACAAGCTTAAGAGAGTTGAGGTTAGTTGATTGTTCTCTTTCAGATACCGATGTTCAATCTCTGTTTTATTCTCCTTCCAACATTTCTACTTCTCTTACCATCCTTGATCTTTCTTCTAATATGTTGACATCCTCAACGTCTCAATTGTTGTCAAACTTTAGCCTTAATCTTCGAGAGCTTTATCTTTCTTAAAATAACATTGTTTTGTCATCTACTGTCTACTCCAACTTTCCTTCTCTTGTGATCCTCGACCTTTCTTATAATAATATGACATCATCAGTCGTCTTTCAAGGTAGTTTCAACTTCAGTTCAAAGCTTCAATATCTTTATTTGGATAATTGTAGCCTTACCGATGCAAGTTTTCTCATGTCATCTATTTCCATTACAAGTTCTTCATCTTCTCTTGTCTTACTTGATCTTTCCTTTAACTTGTTGAAATCATCAACTATATTTTACTGGCTCTTTAACTCCACCACCAATCTACGCACTCTTCGCATTAGCTATAACCTATTGGAAGGTCTCATACCAGATGGATTTGGGAAACTAATGAACTCTCTTGAAGATCTTGACCTCTCTGGTAACAAACTGCAAGGCGTGATTCCATCTTTCTTTGGGAACATATGCACATTGCAGATCTTAGACCTCTCCAACAACAAGTTGAATGGGGAAATTTCTAGCTTCATCCAAAATTCATCGTGGTGCAACAGACACGTGTTTCGGAGTTTGGATTTATCTTGTAACAACATTACGGGCATGCTACCTAAAAGCATTCGAGTGCTTTCTGAGATAGAGGATTTGTTTTTGACTGGAAATTATTTGGAGGGATCAGTCACCGGATCCCATCTTTCAAAATTTTCTAAATTACAATCCTTATTATTGTCAGACAACTTTTTGTCTCTAGAATTAGTCCCTAGTTGGGTTCCTCCTTTCCAACTAGAATACCTGGGACTAAGATCTTGCAAGTTGGGCCCCACTTTTCCCAGTTGGCTCCAGAATCAACGCTCCTTAACTCGTCTCGATATTTCTGATAACAGGCTTAATGGTTCAGTACCAGAATGGTTTTGGAACAACTTACAAAATGTGAATTTTTTGAATTTGTCACACAACAATCTCACAGGTTCAATTTTGAATTTACAACTCAAGCTTCTTAGCAGACCGTCTATATTTCTGAATTCAAATCAATTTGAGGGTCAAGTTCCGTCATTTTTGCTACAAGCTTCGGAGCTGAAGCTCTCCGAAAATAATTTTTCCCATTTGTTTCCATTATGTGACCAAAGCACTGCCGCAAACTTGGCTAGTTTAGATTTGTCAAACAATGAAATAAAGGGGCAACTTCCAGACTGTTGGCATTCTCTGGACTCATTACTGATTCTTGATTTAAGCCATAACAAATTGTCAGGGAAGATTCCTAAGTCCATGAGCACCCTTGTCAATTTGAGAGCATTGGTTTTACGAAACAATAATTTTATGGGTGAATTTCCTTCTGCTTTGAAGAATTGCAGCAATTTAATTATGCTGGATGTGGGTGAAAATATATTATCCGGTCCAATACCATCATGGATCGGAGAAAGTATGAGTCAACTAATAATCTTGAATATGGGAGGGAACAACTTCTCCGGAAATATTCCTAATCATCTTTGTTATTTGAAGCGCATCCAATTGTTGGATCTTTCATGGAATAAATTATCAAAAGGAATTCCAAGATGCTTATCGAATTTTACTGCATTGTCCGAAAAGAGCGTCAACAGAAGTGATATTTACTATCACGTACATTGGATCAATAGAAGTTACTATGAAGTTTACGGCAGTTTCAGTTGGGGTGATTATACTTTTGACGTAATATGGATGTGGAAAGGTGTGAAACAGGGGTTCAAACATCCAGAATATTTTCTCAAGAGCATTGATCTTTCAAGTAATAATTTAACAGGTGAAATACCAAAAGAGATTGGAAATTTGCTTGGGTTAAAATCTTTGAATTTATCCAGAAATAGTCTGAGTGGAGAAATTCCTGATGAGATTGGGAATTTAAGTTCACTGGAGTCCCTTGACTTATCAAGAAATCATATAAATGGAGAAATTCCTTTCTCTCTATCTGAAATTGATGGTCTAGGCAAATTAGATTTGTCACACAACTCTCTTTCCGGAAGTATCCCATCGGGAAGACATTTTGAGACCTTTGAAGCCTCGTGTTTTGAAGGAAATATTGATCTTTGTGGTGAACAAGTTAACAAAAGTTGTCCTGGAGATGGAGATGAAAGAACAGTAGAGATTGAAGGTGAAGCAATGAAAGGTAACGAAGAGAGTGTATTCTATGAGGCATTATACATGAGCATGGGGCTAGGATTCTTCACTGGATTTTGGGGCTTATTAGGGCCAATACTCCTTTGGCGTTCTTGGAGAAATGCTTACATCAGGTTCCAAAACAGATTCACAGACTATGTATATGAACGGTTGTAGTGAATGTGGCGAGTGTTGTGATGGCGCCAATTCAAGAAAAAGGTATCTTGTATATTTGATCATATTTCTACTACTATTATTGAATTTATTTCTGAAATAAAAACTGGTCATGTTTATTGATTTAGCGTATATTAATGAATGTACAAAATAAATTGCAGGTTATTAGAAATGTGCTACACACTTCTCATTGATCTCGGATGGATGAATGAAAGCCTCTTTGGTTTCTACAAGAGCAAGATATTGATTTTGTATGGTCGTTTTTGAATCAAGTAATGTGTTGTAGAATCTTATTCCAGAAGTTTTCTATGATTTGATTGAGTTGTATTGCATGATACATATGTAACGTTCTTTCTTCTTAATTCAAGTGCGTATAATTGTGAGACGTAAAGTGTGATGATTTTATATTTTATCTTCAACAATGCCTCTGCTAAGTTCTCACATCGAAGAACTCTAAACCATACGATTGAAGAATGCGAGATACGCATGTCGCTAGTTAATGGCTTTATATATATAACAGTTTTGCCATTTTTTTAAAATTTATATTCTGCCATCCGAATGGGATAGAAATTTGAGTATGCAATCACATCCAATTTGGAAAGTTAAAACTCAACATTTCTATTTCATTTTCTATCCAAAAAAGAAAAAAAAAATACTCATTTAAATTTCCAATGATTAAATGAGTGCGACAATATTGTTGGCTGAATGTGGTGAACTGAACGTAGAAGCTTCTAATGGTGGTGCACTGGCAAACAATGTGATACACTTATTTTATAATTATAAAAGATAACATAAAAGTATTTAGTATAATTAAAATATCTTAATTGCTCTTCAGGTATTGTTAATTATTTTTTTTATGCCTTTAATTACCACAGTTAAAAAGTTTATAGGTTGATATCACGTGATAGTGTGATATCCATTAGGTGATAAGATTCTAAATAGAATTTACACAAAAGATTTAGAATTTGGAATCATACAAGAATAGAAAATAAAAAATTGAGAACAAAATAGAGAACCTAAATAAAGGAAAAATACTACAAATATTGATAAGCCTAAAGATGATCACCACAAGAATTGATAAATTCTTGATAAGATTAAATATGTAAAGAAGAATTCTAGTTAAAAAATATTTTTCACTTTGGCAAAATTCATCTATTACCTATTTTCTTAATTCAACAATCATAAATACAAAAAATTAGGGTTTTATTGGGTTGACTTTATTTATAATAAAAAGAAACTCAAAAAAATTAAAATTAATCAAATATTAAATTAATAATTTTGGATTCAAATTCTAACTTAACCACAATAAAAATAAATTAATTATATTTTAACTTTCCAAGGCCACTATACTTATAATTAACTTAGCTTCCTTAATGACTTAAGTCTTTAATTATTGGGCTTCTTCTAAAAAAGTCACTTTCAGTTTTAAAACTTGTTAAATCTTTTTAGTCCTTCCTCTTATCATTGGTGAAATTAAGTTTTCAATTAGATTTTGATTTTTCTTCCTATGGTGTTGGACTTTTTATGTCTACCCAAATATAGTTTTTAATTTTGTTGGAAAATGAAACTGAGTTTAGGAACAATTGTGAACTCTTATATTGTTTGGATGTATATATAGTTGGATTTGTCTATTGTTGGATCTTGTAATATTGTTTATTGACATATGAATTAATGAATCTCATTAATATATGAATTAGAGTGTTGAACGTGTGCTAATTAAGATGCAAAAAAAAAACAAAAAGTTGATACAAAATTGTAAATTAAAGTGACCTTATATATTATTTCTTATAATGCAAGAAACTCCAATCCAAATAAAACAAAATCTCTAAATTAAAACTAGTAAAAAATAAAAACTCTTGGTTCATTGATAACGTAAATGACATGGTAAGAACTTAAATGATACAAGTCTTTTTTCTAGTAGTATTTATCAACATAATTTTCTAGTGTTTTCTTAATGAAGCTTATTACAAATACAATGCATCTACAAGGAATTTCCCTGCAATGCATAAATAATAATATCAAGTTTTTGTTGGTATATCAACCATAAGTTTATTTCTAAATAACATGTTTGTCACCTCAAAAAGTAGTTTATTTGATCAAGTCATCATTTTATTACTATTTTCATCCAACAAGCTCCTTTTAACATACATACAACTTTCTACACTTTACAAATTTTCCAGCTATCATTACAACTCACATTAATACACAGTAAATAAAATCGGTGAATTCTCAATAGTAGATAATTGTTTTTTGCAATGTGCATTGAACATGTAGTCATATTCATCCCTTGAATGAGTCCACGAAGCATTTGATGTTTTTCAAAACAATTGACATGCCTTCTCCTCCTTGTGCATTCACTAACACTGTCTAAAGAGAAAGATGTGATTGAGGTTCATAAGGAATATCTGATTGAGGTTCGAAAAGGAACCATGAGAGCTTTGTAGAGGTAGTTCTACTCCGACATATTCCTGATGGGTAAGTTTATCAATTATTTTTCTTCTACGCATTGGTTATGATTTCAATGATTTAAGATGTAAAATTAGTTGTCTTGTGCATCTGCATAAGTTGAAATGATGTTAATTTGTTGTTGAACTATTGTTGAGTTTTGTCATTGTTATACAAAAAAGTCATCGTAGTCAATTATAATTAAGGCAGTCTGTAATTGATTATATTGAGATACATAGTTATTTATGAGGGATGACATAATTGATTATATGTCTGATTGTATAATGAATTATGTTTGATTGCATAATAAAGTGGTTGTTGCTAATCGAATACGAAAATGCACGTAATCAATTATATGCTTCTTTACTTCCTTCTTTGCTACATTAATGTATACTAGCTTCAATATGATATTGTTAATGCTAACTTTTTTTTTTTTTTTAAATTATGGTTGTTCGATTTGTTATTATGTGGTATGCATGCTTAATGTTGAATTAGTAAATTTAAATGAACTAGTTTAGGGAACATAATTGTAACAAAATATTCGGTTGAATAATTGTAAAATATCATGTATGTATTTTTAGGCAAGTTATTATAAAATGTATTGGAAGCTGAAAAAAAAAAAAGCTATTAAGTGTTCATTTTTTGATTTATAAGTTAATAAATAAATAAAAATTACATTACTATTTTTAGGTAATTAATTAGAGGAATTATTAGAACAATAAGTAATTGTCAATGTTTAAGAAATAATCCTAAGATATATATATATATATATATATATATATATATATATATAATACATTACTTTTCTATAAATTATTTGGATTAGGAGTTAATGTATTTAATAATAAGTAAATAATTAAAAAAATAACATAACTATTTTTAGGTAATTATTTGTAAGAATTATTGAAATTATAAATAATTGTAAAGTTATTTGTTTAGAAAATAATTATAAGTTTATTTTTTAGGTAAATAATTTAGATTAGGAATTAATTTATTAGATTATAAGTAAATAATTATAAAAAATTACATAAATATTTTTAGGTAAATGTTTTTAAGCTAAGAGTCAATTTACTAAATTATGAATAAATATTTAACAAAAAAATACATAATTATTTTAAGATAATTAGTTATAAGAATTAATGAAAATATAAATAATTATAAAAATACTTATTTAGTAAATAATGATAAAAATATTTTTTTAGGTAAATAAGTACGGGTTGGAGTTAACTTAATAAATTTTAAATAAAGAATTATAAATTAAAATTATGAAATCATGGTAAAAAAAATTCTTTTGGTACATCATTATGGTTGATTGTTAAGTTATAATAATCTAAAATAAAAAAGTAAATGGCTTTAGACTTTATATATTCTAATTTTTTAATTATAATTTAGCTATCCAAGTTAGTAAGTTATAGAAATTTTTGTAGCAAATAATTATGAACAAATTTTGAAATAAATTTTTATAGTGTAAAAAAAATTAAAAATTATATATGTACGGTTGATTCGTCATTGAGTTTAATTATTTACTTAGTTTTAAATTTAAGATCTAATTATTTATTTACGATGTTTAGTAATGACAAATTTATTATTATTATTATTATTATTATTATTATTATTATTATTATTATTATTATTATTATTATTATTATTATTATTATTCATAATATGGTAGAAATAATTAAAGTAAAATATTTTTGTTTGAAAAATAATTATTGTTTTATGATAGAGAGCAAAAATGAAGATCATATGAATTTAGAAGACGAACAACAAATAACTACTAATATTAAGGAGATGGATATGAACATAATGTCGAGAAAACAAATCCATATCCACGAGAGTTGATTCATCCTTATCTCGAGTTTGACAGAGAAAAACTAAATTGATCGACGACTAAGACGATCTGAATTTTCCTCATTTAAAAAGCCATGATCAGGGGCGGTATGGATAATTTTAATATTTAAATTTAAATCTTAAAATTTTAATATTTTTAAAATATTAATTTTTTTTTCACATTATAGATAAAGTCATTTTTTATTTTCATTTTTTACTTTTCTTCTGCCCACTTTTTACTCTTTTATCTTTTTTAATTTCTTAGATCAATCACTTCATTATATTATCCTCTTTTTCTTATCTTTCTTCATATTTTCTTAATCTCTTCAATCAATTTAAGTTTTTCAATCTTTTTAATAAATTTAAAAATATAAAGCTAATTTTTCTTCTTCTTTATTTTTTTTTAATTATTTTACATCAATCTTAATAATAACTAATAGTATTCTATTTCTAACTCTTCTTTATTAAGTTTTATTATGTTATATATTTTTTAGATTTTATTTTTCCTATTTGTTATATATCAAATTTTCTTAATAAAATAATTGTATTTTGAAGGATTAAAAAGAAATGGTAATTAAAACTTTATCACTTTGAACTAATTAAATAAGAACTAACTTATTAAATATTTTTTGATACACTATATATTTCATATTTATAAATATTTTAAAATGACAACTAAAAAAGTAATTAACTTTTATATGTAATTAAACTATGTCATTTTTCTTTCATCGATTTGGTGAGACTGTTAATCGACATTTTCACAACATGTTGAGTGTCATCATTGAATTGGAGGAAGAATTTTTTATTTGACCTTCAAGAAGGGATGTGCAATCACATATCTATAACAATCCTAGATTTTACTAATATTTTAAGGATTGTCTTAGGGTGATTGATGAAACTCATTCGAGTGAAGGTACCACAATCGAATGCCCCTAGTTTTTGTGATAGAAAAGATTGACCAACCCAAAATATTTTTGTAGCCTGTGATTTTAACATGAAATTCACATATGTCCTAACAGGACGAGAAGGAACTGTATCTGATTCTAAGATTTTAAAAAGACACTAATAAGGGAAAATCTACTCACCATACTTGAAAGTATAAAGAATTAACAAAAGATAACATTTATTGCTTCACATGAACACTTAATTGTAATTATTAAGTAATGTTATTTTCTGTAAGCAAATATTACTTTGGAGATGCAGGATTCATGTTGAAAGCTCAAATTATTATTCTATATCGGGCAATAAGGTACCACTTGAAAGAGTATTTACAGAATGATCCTCAGAATTCCCGAGAATTGTTTAATTATCATTATTCTTTATCAAGAAATGTAATTAGAGGATATTTGATGTTTGCAAAAAAAGACTCCCATTATAGGAAGTGGGGTGGAACCCCACTATTGCTTTGAAATATCTAGAAATATAGTATTGACAAGTTATATTTTGCAAAACTTTCTACATGGAGTAGGTAATGGCGAATCTTTTTTAGAGGAAGTGGGCTGAGAGTTAAACAAACAACAAGATTATAGGTTTACAATACAAGTTCACAAGGATGATTATAAAGTAATGGCTAACTTGAGGAATATGATAGCAACTCAAATGTGGATTGATTATCGATAACAAAGTAGATGTCAACTATGTTTATTATTATTATTATTGATCTATTTCATGTGTAATTTACTATATATATATTTTAATATTATGATTGATTATATTTTTTAAGAGTTATATGGTCCAAACATGCATACCATCTTAACTCTAATTAAATAACCATGATAACATTGACATAAGATAGCAAAAGTTAGTTGTTTATAGGCTCACCATAGGGAAATAAAAAGTTGATCCTAGCCAGAACATACATGAATTTACAAGATAGACTGAAGATATGAATATTCAACTACTAACAACCATGAAAGATGAGGCTAGAGTTGGGAATAGGATAAATGGAAGTTGGACATGTCAAGCATATACTAACATTGTGGATACACTAAGATAGGCAGGTTAATATTGTCATAAAAAAGAATGATGTCAAAAATAACAAAATAAGTCTTAAAGATCGTTGGTGGAAGGTACATACTTTGTTTAGTAGCCTCACTAGTTTTACTTGATACGAAGCCACAAGAAGATTTAAAGATGAGCTTGAAGTCCAAAGTGGCTTGATTAAGGTATTATATTGAATAATATATTTTAACAATTAATTTTAATATTCAAGTTGCATCAATTATTGTGTATATGTTTTAATTTTTTTTGAGGCTAAACCATCAATTGCTAAATAACAAGTAACCCCGATAAAATTCTATGCTTATTTGAAGAATTGTAGGGAGTTGATCATGTCACCGACCACATGACAAGGACTGCACGCCAAATCCATAGATGCGGGGGTTTGATAGTGGACTTAGGTGTTGATTTGAACGATGTTGTCATAAATCTTTTTATGCACCATGAGTATAATTCGACATTTGATGAGATGTAGTCGAGTCCATCCCATATGGACTCTTACAGTCCAGGGATCTCTCCATCTACCCCTTTTGTCCCTTCTACATGAACATCTTCATTTAGAGATTCAAGGAGAAAAGCCAACATGGTAGATGTAGACTTGAATGGTCATATATGTCAGGTTATTGTTGTGGAACACCAGACCATGATCATAGAAAGATGAACTGACTTGATGAGTGAACACGTGATGATACAAAGAAGTTGAACAACACTATAATATTAAGCTAATGATATATGATAACTGTTATACCAACTCAATTTGCATGATGATCAATTGATGTCCCAATGCTACAAGTTTACCTGTAGAAACCTCATTCATAGGGACATGATATTTGGCATGCCACCAGAGTTACAACTTAATTATTTGTTAAAGATCATGACCAATGGAAGCTTGTCGTAGATGATTAATGCTTTTTCATTTACATCATAACGTTGTTTAAAATATTTGAACTATGTTTCTTGGAACTACTACAAGTTAATGTTTGTTGGAACTAATATTTGTAAAATATTGTTTGTAATGTTATTTTTATGTTTGATTGTCATGTTTATGTTTCATAATTTTATTTATATTTTGATATGTAAAATTAATGTATATAGTTAATGCATTGATGCTACTTATATTTATAAGTTGGAATCATGTCTTCATTATTGTACAAAACAAAGAGACAGAGATATGTCTCACAAAGTAAGGGAAAAAAAGACAGTAAAGGTTCTTACACTAACCCCTCCTTCAAACTTGTCTCATTTCCAAACACTACTACAGAATATGTTTTCCACATCGTCATTTAACGTCGGTTAAAGTTGAGGCGACGTAGAAAGTACTTTCAACGTCGGTTGGTTAAAAAACGACGTTGAAAGTTGAACACATTTTACGTCAGTTTTTATTTTTATTTTTTTTCAGCCAAAAATTCTAACTTAATTTAAGGTCGGTTAAAGCTGAGACGAACGTCGATTGGTTAAAAAACGACGATAAAAGTTGAACACATTCTGCGTCAGTTTTTATTTTTATTTTTTTTTCAGCCAAAAATTTACTTAAGTTAGAGAATTATCACTCGAAGGGATTCAAACTCGAGTATCTTAAAGTTAAAGACTAATACTCCAACCACTAAACTACTAGAATTTTCTAATAATAACTTACAAATAAATTATATTTATATACAAATAAATAAATAAATATATATATATATATATATATATATCCGTGTAAATATATAAATATAAAATATATAAATACAAATATATTTATATATTTTGATATATTGATATATTTATATGTTGGATGTGAGAGCGCGCTTGAGGGTGAAAGTTGGATTGACTCTCACTTGAGCAAAAATACATTAAAGCTCACAGAAATTCACTCGCTCAAGCGAAATTATCTCGTTTGAGCGAAAATTGGTATTTTTCGCTTGAGCGAATGACGCATTTCCCAAATTTATTTTATATCATTATATAAATAAATTATAAAGAGTACATTCTGTTATTAAATTATAAACTCATATAAAGAGACCCGCTCACATATTTGACATCAAATTTTGAAAATCTACTTGACACACACTTTCACCTTCGAGCGTGCCCTCACATCCAACATATAAGTATATAACTATATAAATATATCAACATATATAAATATATTTTATATTTATATATTTACACGGCTATATATTTATTTTTATATAAATATAATTTATTTGTAAGTTATTATCAGAAAATTCTAGTAGTTTAGTGGTTGGAGTATGAACCTCCCACTTTGAGATATGATAGAGATGAGGTATTGATGGTAATGATTAGATAAAAAAAAAAGAATTTATTCGAGGTGAAACAAAATATCTCTCATTTTGTCCTTGAATAATTTTTTTTTTAAGAATTTATGTGATACATCAAAGCAATCTAAGATTTCATAATTCCTAAAATAATGATTCTTAAGATCGTATTCATCTCCGACCACTTTATTTTGTATAATAAAAAAAACATAAGAAAGAGAATAATCATATTCAATTCAATAGAAAAAATGGCCTGATCATTTATTAATGACAAATTTTCAGTAGAAGAGAAGGTTCCTTCGAAACACTTTTATGTGATACATCAAAGGAATCTAAGATTTCATAATTCCTAAAATAATGATTCTTAAGGTCGCATTCATCTTCGGTCACTTTATTTTGTATATATTTTGTATAATAAAAAAAACATAAGAAAGAGAGTAATCATATTCAATTCAATAGAAAAAATAGCCCGATCATTTATCAATTACAAATTTTCAGTAGAAGAGAAGGTTCCTTCGGAATACTTTTTTATTTCTATTTCAAGTATACTCGGGTCTCTTTGTTTCATTTCAAAAAATTGATATCATTTCTATTTTGAAATCAAAGAAAAGTGTGGGAATAAATATAAATGACAAAAAGATATTGGAACATAATTTTGGAAGAGATGATGGAAGCTAGAGTTCATTTTGGCCACGATACTAGAAAATGGAATCCTAAGGGTATTCATATTACAAATCTTATTAGAACTGCTCGATTTTTATCAGAAACTTGTGATTTAGTTTTTCATGCAACAAGTGAGGGAAAACAATTCTTAATTGTTGGTACAAAAAGAAAGCAACTGATTCAGTAGCACGGGCTACTATAAGAGCTCGGTGTCATTATGTTAATAAAAAATGACTCGGTGGTATGTTAACGAATTAGTATACTACAAAAACACGACTTCAAAAGTTCAGGGACTTGAGAATGCAACAAAAGACGGGGAGATTCCATAATTTTCCAAAAAAAGATGCTGTTATATTAAAGAGACATTTAGCTCAATTCGAAACATATCTTAGCTACATTAAATATATGATGGGGTTACCTGATATTGTAATAATCGTTGACCAACAAGAAGAATATACGGCTCTTTGAGAATGTAAAACTTTGGAAATTCCAACAATTTATTTAGTAGTTGGAGTATCAGCCTCTCACTTTAAGGTAATGGGTTCGAATCCTACCAGTGACAATTTTCTAAAAAAATTAATTTGGTAATGATTCAAACTTCTAAAAAATATAATATAAAAGAGAGGGGGTTATAAATAAATAAAAACTATTGATCTGAAAATCAGGTTCTATATAACCGACGTTAATTAATCTTGTTGATATCCTTGAAGACCTGAGATATGATATAGATGAGGTATTGATAGTAATGATTAGATCAGAATTACAAGTATGGACTTGTAGGTAGATGAGTATTATCGAGAAAATTCTAGTAGTTTAGTGGTTGGAGTATCAACCTCCCACTTTAATAATGATTCAAACTTCTAAAAAATATAATAAATAATAAAAAAGATTGATTTTTTTAATAAAACATTAACATATCTATACAAAATCAATTAGTTAAAAAAACATTCAAATAAAAAAAATAAAAATATATTTTTGAAATTTAATTTTTTTAATAAAAATTAGTTTTTGTATAAGATATAATAATTTAATATATAAATTATAAGAAAATACATCAATTCAATCTTAAATTGAAAACTTACTCTTTATTGTCATTATTTATTTTTAGTAATTTATTAATTTAAAATAGTAATTAATTTTAATTATTAGATTTTAAAGTAAGTGATTATTAAAGATTTATTATGATATTTACATATATTAATAAAATAATATTATTTTTATTTAACAAATAATTATTATTCTATCAAATGTACCGACCTATAAACCTATGGATTAGCTTGACCTAAGCCCATATAGACTATGACCTAAATAAGTCGGACTAAAATAAGTCTAATTCAATTTAAGTCAATTTTTTTGGCCTGACTTGACCTATTGCTCGAGTCTTCCGAATCAGCTCATTGGACTAAACCTATTTTGATGCATAATCAATACATTTCATTGATTGACTTGCAAAATATTGAACATTTGGATCTCAATCTTTTGGTAAGCGTATAAATATTATCAATCGCAGTATAATATTTCAATTAAATAAAAGTCAATCCCACCTCTAAGTCATATGCTTATTAAGTATATTGACACAAAATTGGTTTTTCATAGATATGTGGGTTAAAAATAAATGGCAAAGAACTATTAAGTATTTTTAGAAAAAATGAAGTATAAGAACTTATAATTGACTTAATTCCTTTTCGACTAGGTCAAACTAATAACATCAATTAATCTATCAATGTTGATATCACCTACTTAAATCATTCACATTAATTCCTCAAACATGAAATTCATAAGAAAACCTTGTAAACATAGATTCCTCATACATTTAATAGATTTTTCAGCATTAGGTTTATAATATTAAGCACTTAATACATCCATTACCATTCTTAGTAATCAATGTAGCAAATATTTTTAACCTAATTAAGAGTTTCAAGATATATTTTCCAATATATATAAACATCAAGGATAAAAGCATTAAAAGACACAAAGGATAAAAATAAAAATATCAAAAACATAAATTAATATCTCAAAATATCATCAAGATACAAAAGAGTTCAAATGAAGTGCACTCAATCATAAGAGAATGAAGTTAGTCACTCATGATGACCATTACAATGATCCAAATAAAGAAGAATTGAAGAAAAATTGAAGATTGGACGAAAACTGGAGCAGCTGCCGCATCTCTCTTCTCAAAACCTCAAAAAATTCTCAAAACACATCTTATCTTTTTATAGAAAAATTTGGGTCACACGTCATTTGCTCAAGTGAAAAAATATGATTTTCGCTCAAGCAAGAAATATTCGCTTGAGCGGTTGAATTCCCGAGAGCTTTAACTAATTTTTGCTCAAGCGAACATCCGTCTCGCTTGGGCGAATCTCAAGATGAAAATCTTCTTCCTTTTTTAAATTTTTCTTGAATTATCTTGATAATTATGATTCTTGCTCTTGTACCAAAATATTCTGTAAATTTATCCTACATTGGAAAAAAAATATATTAGAATCGACATAATTTAAATGATTAAATAATAATTAAAAATATAATTACATCAACTTTTACCACTTAACTTAACAATCGCTCGTAATGATTTTCGAGAGATTTATATCACACAACTCGTTGGCTCCTTCATCAACATAAGATATCTCAATCTCTCCTATTCTTTTTTTGGTGGGAGCATCCCTCTGAACTTGGAAAGCTTACAAATATACAGTATCTTGATCTCAGTCACAATTATATAGATGGGGATCTCCCTTATCAACTTGGAAATCTCTCACAGTTGACGTATCTTGATCTTAGTGGAAATTCATTTTGTGGAGCACTCCCTTACGAGGATGGGAATCTTCCTTTGTTGCACACTCTTGGACTTGAAGGTAATTTTGATGTCAAACCTAAGGATGCAGGATGGTTGTCTAATCTCTATTTTTTTTTTTAAATCTTCCCTTGAGTTCTTTACATAATATTGACTGGCTACAAATGATCAGTAAGCCTTTTCCAAGCTTAAGAAAGTTGAGCCTATTTGGTTGTTCTCTTTCAGATACCGATATTCAATCTCTGTTTCATTCATATTCCAATTTGCCAACTTCTCTCATATTCCTTGATCTTTCTGTCAATATGCTAACATCCTCAACATTTCAATTTTTATCAAACTTTAGCCTCAATCTTCAGCAGCTTGATCTTTCTCGTAATAACATTGTTTTGTCATCTCCTGTCTACGCAAACTTTCCTTCTCTTGTGATCCTTGACCTTTCTTATAATATAATCACATCATCATTCTTTCAAGGTAGTTTCAACTTCAGTTCCAAGCTTCAATATCTTTATTTGAAAAATTGTAGTCTTATGGATGAAAGTTTTCTTTTGCCATCAAGAATTCTTTGTCTTCTCTTGTCTTCCTTGATCTCTCCTTAAATCTGTTGAAATCATCAACTATATTTTACTGGCTCTTTAACTCCACTACCAATCTACGTGTTTACATTGGGTATAACCTATTAGAAGGTGTCATTCCAGATGGATTTGGGAAAGTAATGAAGTCTCTTGAAGTTCTTGACCTCTATGATAACAAACTGCAAGGCGAGATTCCATCTTTCTTGGGGAATATATGCACATTGCAGAGGTTAGGCCTCTCAAACAACAAGTTGAACGGGGAAATTTCTAGCTTCATCCAAAATTCGTCGTGGTGCAACAGACACGTGTTTCGGAGTTTGTTTTTATCTTATAACCGGATTACCGGCATGCTACCTGCAAGCATTGGATTGCTATCTGAGTTGGAGTATCTTTCTTTGGAAGGAAATTATTTAGAGGGTGAAGTCACTGAATCCCATCTCTCGAATTTTTCCAAATTAAGGTACTTATACATATCAGACAACTCTTTGTCTGTAAAATTTGTCCCTAGTTGGGTTCCACCTTTTCAATTAGAACGTTTGGATCTAAGATCTTGCAAGTTGGGTCCAAGTTTTCGTAGTTGGCTCCATACTCATAGTTCGTTAGTTGGACTAGATATTTCTGAATGGTTTTGGACTACTTGCAAAATATGGAAACGTTGAATATGTCTCACAACAATATCACAGGAGCAATCCCTAATATTTCATTGAAGCTTCTCCATAGACCATCTATAATTCTGAATTCAAATAAGTTTGAAGGCAAAATTCCGTCATTTTTACTACAACCTTCAGAGCTGATTCTTTCTGGCAATAAATTTTCAGATTTGTTTTCATTCTTATGTCACCAAAGCATAACTGCAAATTTGGCAACTTTAGACCTATCAAACAATCAAATAAAGGGGCAACTCCCAAACTGTTGGAAATCGCTAGACCAATTAGTCTTTCTTGATTTAAGCGAAAACAAATTGTCAGGGAAGATTCCTATATCCATGGGCACCCTTGTTAACCTGGAAGCCTTGGTGTTAGGAAATAATAGTTTAATGGGTGAATTGCCTTCCACATTGAAGAACTGCAGCAATTTGATCATGTTGGATGTTGGTGAAAATGTGCTGTCTGGTCCAATACCGTCATGGATTGGAGAAAGAATACAAAGATTGATAATTTTGATCATGCGAGGAAATAACTTCTCTGGAAATATTCCTATTCAACTCTGTTATTTAAAGCATATGCAATTGTTGGATCTGTCCAGGAATAGCTTGTCAAGAGGAATTCCTACATGCTTACAAAATATTACTACAATTTTTGGAAAAAAAAAACATCAACAGAAGTGAAGCAAAAGGTAGTATATATTGGTTGAATATTACTTACTTTAGAAGTTATAGTGCCTACATGTATGTTTATAAGCTTTACACAACATTGATGTGGAAAGGTGTGGAACGTAGGTTTCCGGATCCTGAACTCAATCTTAAGAGCATCCATCTCTCATACAATAAATTAACAGGGAAAATACCAAAGGAGATTGGAGATTTGCTCGGGTTAGTTTCTTTAAATTTATCAAGAAACAATTTGAGAGGAGAAATTCCTTCTGAGTTTGGGAATTTAAGTTCACTAGACTCCCTTGGCTTATCAAGAAATCATTTCAGTGGGAAAATTCCTTCTTCTCTTTCTCAAATTGACGGTATTAGCAAATTAGACTTGTCACACAACTCTCTTTCTGGAAGAATCCCATCTGGAAGCCATTTTGAGACCTTTGAAGCCTCAAGTTTTGAAGGAAATATTGACCTTTGTGGTGAACAACTTAACAAAAGTTGTCCTGGAGATGGAGATGGAGATGAAGAACAGTAAAGGTTGAAGAAGGTGAAGCAATGAATCACAATAAAATTTTATATTTAATATTAGACTATTAAACTTTTAATGTATATAGTAAACAATATTTTGCTATTTGATATACATTATTGTAATTACAAAATATTAAATATATAGTAGAAGAAACACAAAAACTAGCAAAAAAAAAAAGTGTTGAATATTATCTCCAACAAAATAATTTGATCATGAAATATGGTAAATCTCAGGATTACTACAATAGTCAACAAGAAAAATAATAAACAAATTATAAATTAAAATTAAAATATGTAAAATTTATACAAATTATAATAATACTTGACTCTTATTGTTTTCCTACATTATAATATTTTCTACACATAAGATCCATGCATCTTGAATATTTTTTTTTTTTGGATTTATAACCTAAAATATATAACAATTACATTATAAGTCATGCTAGGTGCATAATCATAAGTATTAAGTTCAACTTTACAATAATATATTTTTAAGGTAAAATTTTCAATATTTTAAGGGAATGAAACTTAGTTTACAATAAAATCCATATATAATATCTATTTGGACACAGTATATAGATAGAGAGATAATTTTGTTATTTTATAAACATTTAAATAATTATATTTTATCATCAACTTCAAGAAAATATTTTAGAAATAGTGATTATTAAAATTATTTTGAATATATAATCTTTTGTTATAAATATGTAACTTTTACGCTACCTATATTTTAGTTTACTTTCTTTAACTATTTTTAGTTTTATTATTTAATATATTATTTTATTCTTTATCTAAAAAAATAATTTAATTATTTATTAAATCATAAATTAATAATTACATTTCTCTTCTTCTTAAAAATATAATCCTATTAAAATAATTTCTTAAAATTAGATTATCATAACTTTCTCATTTACATAACACCATTTAATTAATATTTTAATAATATATATATCAAAAAATTTTATTTTTAATGTTTATTTTTATATGCTCAATATTTACTACAAAATAAACTATTATTTTTATATAATAAATAATATTAAATAATTTTATTTATTAATATAAATAATTAAATTAATATATGTTAAATTAAGATCATATGATAAAAGAATATGAGTTTTGATATTTTAAAAAAATCTGTTATATAATCTTATTTATTAATATTATATTTTTAAAATAGTTTATTTAAAATAAAATTAATTAAAATTATTATTTTATTAATAAATAAAGTTGTTGAATAAATGTTGGTTGGTAATAGATTGTGAATTTATATTTTTTCAAATAGTGTAATTTTAATTATTTTTATTATCTTAAATGTAATTAGGGGTGTCAAAGTCACATGTTGGCTCACCACGGGTTGAGCTGAAAATAGGTGAGCTCAACTTGGCTCACTTTTTGGCGAGCCGAAATTTTACAACCTGGCTCAACCCACTACGGGTTGGTGGATTAGGTGAGTTGACTCACTAACCCATATTTTTTTAATTTTTTTAATTATATAGAAACTTCAGATATAGAAACTTATGTTTTCTTCCTTTTTTCTCAACATCAGTATCTTCGTTATTAACTGAAATTGACTCATTGGGTTTTTCATTAATAATAAAATCATCACCAATACAATTTATATTGACACTTTGATGTATTGTTTCGATTTCATACTGTAAATTAATTTAAAAGAAAAAAGTCAAAAAATCATATATTAAAGAGAAATACGTATAAATCAATAACAAACAACAAATAATGTATAGGTGCTACAATTTTCAAATAAAGATTCATCAATCCAACAGTTCAAATAAAGATTCATCAATCCAATAGTTTAGGTTATGAAACAAATTCTTACCTTTAAAAGCAGTACAGTGGATAGATAATAAGATAAGTGACTCAAGTGTAGTGACAAAAATAATGCTGCAACAAACAACTGATAATAAGTTTAAGCGAGAGTTTGACTTATGACGACAACCAATAATGTAGAGTAGAAGTAAGACAAGATAACATCAATTAGGGTTACTAAAAAATTATAATTATTTTTAAAATTAAAAATAAATGATTAATTATGGTTAGTATATTATTATAATTATTTTTAAAATTTAAAATTAATGGTGGGTTGCGGGCCAATCTACCATAACCCGACTCGAATCCGTTTAACCCGTGGGTTAAGTGAGCCGAATTCATTTTTAACCCATAATCGATAGAAATAAAAAAATCGAACCCAACCCGGCTCGAACCCGTGGTGAGCCGGGTTGGCTCACGAGTTAGAACCATATTGACACCCTAGTAATTATATTTTGTATATTATTTAAAAACTATTTCTCAAGTGTGTTTAATTAACTGAATAAATTATTATTGATGAAATATTAATATATGAAACTTCTATAAGGCTCTTGAAAGAAGTTAAACAATGACGTCAATATAATATTATTAGCAAAAGTGCGTAAATTAAAAATAATGCTTATATGTAAAAACTATTTAAGACTCTTATTGATTTTGTAATGCAAAAAGGCAAGTTACACTAGTTTTTCTGCACGAGAGTAACGTGTGGCAAACTGTTGCAGAGTGCAAACAAAACAAGACCAGAGTACGAATTGTGTACAATTCCCATTTTCATTAGTTCGTTTCAACCACAAAGTTTTACAGAAACGACGACGTTGTGTTTCATCTTCTTGTACATTTGCATAATCCCAATTCCGCATCTCACAAAGGATACCACTCTCTTCAGTCTCCAATGGAGGCCAGAGTCTCTTCCTCCCTCGGCCTCCCTTCTCCGAAGCCCCACGAAATCTCAATCTCCACAACCCTCTCTGACTTCCCCTCGCTTCTCACCCACTTCCCCCCCTTCGCCTCCACCACCTCCGCCAAATGGCCCCGGCCCAGCCCAAAACCCCAGGCCCTCAAAACCCTCCCCCTCCTCGACCGCGCCCTCATCGGCGCTGCCGCAGGCGGCCTCGCCGGCGCCTTCACCTACGTCTGCCTCCTTCCCCTCGATACCATCAAAACCAAGATGCAGACCAAAGGCGCCGCGCAAATTTACAAAAATGCCCTCGACGCAGTCGTTAAAACTTTCCAGTCCAGCGGCCTCCTCGGCTTCTACAGCGGCGTCTCCGCCGTCATTGTCGGCTCCACCGCCTCCTCCGCCGTCTACTTCGGCACCTGTGAGTTCGGAAAATCGTTCCTCGCTAAGCTCGAAAACTTCCCTGCCGTCTTGATCCCTCCCGCCGCTGGCGCCATGGGGAATGTCGTGTCATCGGCGATCATGGTCCCCAAGGAGCTCATCACGCAGCGAATGCAAGCCGGCGCAAAGGGACGTTCCTGGCAAGTCCTCGTCGAAATTCTCCAAAACGACGGCGTTATGGGCCTCTACGCTGGGTACTCCGCAACGTTGCTCCGAAACCTACCGGCGGGAGTTCTGAGTTATTCCTCCTTCGAGTATCTAAAAGCTGCGGTACTGCAGAAAACGGAGAAGAACCACTTGGAACCAGTTCAGAGTGTTCTGTGCGGGGCCCTCGCGGGGGCGATTTCGGCGTCTCTTACGACGCCGTTGGACGTGGTGAAGACTCGGTTGATGACGCAGGTGCGCGGCGAGGGGGTGGGTAAGGTTGCGGCGGTTATGTACGACGGCGTTTCGGAGACTGTGAAGCAGATTTTGAAGGAGGAAGGGTGGGTGGGGCTGACACGTGGCATGGGGCCTAGGGTGCTTCACAGTGCGTGCTTTTCAGCGTTGGGGTACTTCGCTTTTGAGACGGCGAGGCTTGGAATTTTGCAGGAGTATCTTAGGAGGAAGGAGTTGAGTGAAAGGGAAACTCAAGTTTCTGTTTCCACTGCCTGAGTTCGTGTTTTCACTATTTTTGTTTATCGCTTAATTTATGTTCGGATTTGTGTTTTGGGTTTTCAATGACAGTTACTTCTTGTAGAGTGTTTCAGTAGAGAGGATTTGTTATGGAAACTGGACTACTAAGGTGGCATATATAAATGTAGGTTCTTGAATGTTGTCTTAGTTGCCCTTTTGGTTGAGATTTGTTATAATGATTACAAATAAAGTGGTTACAATAATAATGATTATTATAGTTTTCCTCCTCTGCATAATGCTGTTTCTCTTGTTTCTCAAATTCAATATACATGTTGGTGATGGTCAGGTTCAGTGGTGCCATGTTCTTATAGAAACAAATCAGGTTGCTGATTCTTTAGCTCATGATACTGTCTCACTTAGGTTTCTTTTAGGAGTTTTGAGGCTCCTATTGTTTTCATTCTTTTAGTTCTTTTGGGCTTACCCTCGTGAGTTTCTTCGAGTTTTGTCTATCATCCCTTGGTCACACCAAAAAGCAATAAAGTGGTTTTACCGATTTCTGGCATTGTTCACAGAAGTTTAGGATTGGCTGAGGAATTATTCTAGGGTACTATGATTAATGGTATAGAATAATAAGGCACATGAATTTCATTGTGTATGTTGCATGAATGTATGAGTAGATCACATATCGAATGCTCGTTGGTGTTTTTATTGTTCTTTGCTTCTATCTTGTATTATTACTCACACTCATTAGTTGTTTTGCTCCTTTGACATTTATATTTTTAGATTGGTTATTGAACACAGTCTTGTGGGATGAACAGTTTGTCATATGTATGTTGAATTGAAACATATCCGACCCAGAGATAGAGATCCCCTTTCTGCGGCATACAGTCCTTGTTTAAAACTCCACAGACCATTTTTGTCCATAGATCATAATTTTGTTTATGTGTAGGACATAATGGCTAAAAATATGTTCTAACATATTGTTATTTTAGGGTATGTGCGAAATTTTCTTTTGGGGTGGGGGTGGTTCATTAGAGTGGGAAGGGCATTTTAATTTCTCAGTTATAAAGTGAGAGTATAAAATTGTGTAAAAGGGAATTAAAGGTGATTAAAAACTTACATGGTCTATTCTTATTCCTTTCTTTTTAAAAAGATATTCAAATAAGAAAAATATCAATTTCAAATGAGAATTTATTCTTCCTTTTGTCAGAGCTCTGTCATCCAAATATACTTGTAATTTGCACCTGAACTATTAAATAATTTTAAATTTAAGTGAGCCTTGTTTTTTTTCTTTTTTCTATACTATCTATGCATGTAGAAATAACTCTAACTCTAGTTTGATAGAGTAAACTACTTAATTATTTGTAGTTCATCCCTACCAAATGTGACGTATTCTCAAGAATGAATAACAAAACATAGTACAGATGGATAGTTTGTTGTTCTACTAGTACTTTTAATTGGGCGGTTCTATGTATACTTGCTGAAATATTGCAATTCTTTCTGTATGTTGATTCTTAACGATGGAATACTCTTTTCTGCATTTCAAATAAATGTATGTCTAGATAGCCTCGGTAGCGGGAACAGAGGCATAGGAGTAGTACTGCAATACAACCTAGAATATGTGTCCAAATAATTTATTTTAAAGCAATAATTTAAAAAAAAAATCCCTTCAGTGTATTTCAATTGAAATAAAAAAAGAAGATAAGATTTTATTTTTTTTAAGTAAAAACCTGCTATTTTCTTTTTTTAAATATATTAGAAAAAGAAAAAAGAAATCTACTTATTTTATTGAAAAAAAATTACTTCAAAAACATAAACACAAACTCACCCGTTATGAAGTTAATGCTACGAATAATATGATAGGTAATTGTTGCTTTTAATCTAGGACACCTTTTAATCGAGTAAATGGTGTTTTTTGCATCGTGCACCAAAGAAATTATCTGTTTGATAGTGGGAGTCTAATTCTTTTGAGACATGGATATTACTGAAATGAGTTTCGTTTTCTCTTAACAATGTGTTTTTTCTAGACACAAGGTCAGTTTTGACGATTAAGCACATTTCTGTTGGAAGAATTTTGGTAGCTTTTCACATGTTGTTTCGACTGCAAGGCTCTGAGAAAATTGCTTTTTCTTCTATTCCGAATGTGAATTATGTTAAATTGTTTCAGAGTTTCTTTTTACAAAATTTGTTGCCTCTGTTATAGTTATAGTTATACGAGTCTTTGCACTATCATTATTATTATAATTTTGTCTGTCATGGTAGTAGAGGGTTTCTGTAATTCTCTTGCCGTGAAGTAGTACTTTAATGCATTTATGCACTTACATGAGATGGTTGAGTTTGTCATAGAAAGGAAAGGTGTGCAGACCTATAATATAAGATAGGATGCAAATGACATTGCTATGTTTTTAGAATTTGGCAGAGCATATGCAATATGCATACACAGACACGAAAACTTGGATTAACTACCATTATTTGTATGAATTGTATTATTGCTGATATGCACAAATTTCTGTTGTGGATTTCAATGTGGCAGGCAGGCTACTAGCAGGCATCATTATGGAATGCAAAACCTTCACATTTTAGATATGGAAAGTGTTGGCATAAAATAAAATGCAATTATAAATACACTACACCCACCCAGACTATGAACTTAAGTTTGTTGAAACAGTGATTTTGCATATCATTTCAAAATATGTCTCTTGTCTAATTTTTACATTGTAAACTTCAATACTATATTTCACACACTTCCAGCCATCCATGATGCTTATCCTGGGTTAGAATTTTGAAGCTAATCCGTCATAACTGCAACACAATTCAGATAACAGACATTTAGGGCGATGGAGAGATTTAGAGACTGAATTTTATTGATAAATTAAATGAAACTCAAAATCCAGAGCCATTAGAGTAACAAAAAGAAAATCTAGCTTGCCAATTTTTTTGTTTTAAACAATTGAGAAGTCATTTCAGAACAAGAAAATTACTCTAAACAGAGCACACCAGCTATAATTTCTTCCCAACATGACAAATAATCGTTTCTTGGAGAAGTAACTAGCAGTTGTAAAAACACAAAATAATCAAACACGAGATTCAGATATACACATTGTTTTAACTGATTAAAGCCAAAATGTATAGGATACAAGCGATGTAATGATGACATACAATAGATATAATGATGTAAAGCTGTATTACATGACACACAACAAGGATGAAAAATAATTAAATATGTAAATTCTGATAATTTGATTCATGCCAAAATGTACATTTTTTTTTATAGAAAAGGAATTATTGATTTATTTAACTTTGGCATAGAAATAAACTCGATGAAGTTCAAAGAAAGAAGTTATTTGAACTAAGTACCTGCTAGTCCTTGAGCTTCCTGCGGCACTTGGGTTCACTTCAACCATTAGAATAATATAGTCTGTCAGTTTGTTTAGAAATCTCAGGTAAGCATTTCTCCATGGTTGCCAAATTAGTATTGACCCTATTAAGCCCCACAAACCTGTGAAGAATCCTAACCCCTTGCTCATGTACAATGCTTCATAGAAAAGTGAATTGTCATCCTCATAATTTGCAACTCCTTGAGGCTTTGTTGTTGTGTTGTCTCCAAGACAACTTTTATTCAGTTGTTCACCACAAAGATCAAGGTCTCCTTCAAAACTAGAGGCATCAAAGGTTTGCAACTGCCTTCCCCAAGGGATTCTTCCAATTAGAAAGTTATTTGACAAGTCTAGGACAGCCAGACGATCAATTTTGGAAAGGGCAGAAGGAATTTTTCCAGAGAATTGATTTCTTGACAAGTCAAGAAATTCTAGTAAAATTAAACTCCCGATATCACAGGGAATTTCTCCACCTAAGTTGCTTCTTGATAATTTCAAAGAAACTAATCCAAGTAAATATCCAACTTCTTTTGGTATTTCACCAGTTAAATCATTACTAGAGAGATCAATGCTCTTTAGAAAATTCTCTGGATTCCAATACATATGCTCTTGACCTTTCCACATCAATAACACATTGGAGTCATATATCGCATAGCCTCCTCGATACACTCCTTCACTTTTAACTACTCCCTTTTCCATCATTGTAGTAAAATTCCTCAAACATGTTGGAATTCCCCGACAAGTTATTCCTTGAAAGATCCAAGAGATGAATTTGTCTCAGATAACAGAGATGAAGTGGAACACTTCCAAAGAAGTGATTTACTCGCAAACTCAAGATTATCAGTTGTTGTAGATTTTCTCCAATCCATGACGGTATATGATTAGAAAACATATTCTCACTCAAGTCTAATATGTATAAATAGGTGCAGTTCATCAGTGTGGGTGGTAGATCTCCTGTTAAGTTGTTGTTTCGTAAGATCAAAGATCTCAAATTAACAAGAGTGCCCATGGATTGTGGAATCTTGCCTGACAAGTTATTATTGCTTAGATCAAGAACTTGTAATAAATTTAGATGTTCCCAACAGTCGCTCAAATGTCCCATTATTTGATTGTTTGACAAATCCAAAATGTGCATGTCTGTGGCTGCATTTCTTCTACACAAGAATGTATTTAAATCTGAAATTTTATTTTGACTTGAGATATGCTTGTGATAAAAAAGCAGGAATTCCACCTTCAAGTTCATTTGACTTGAGAATTATATATGTTTCATAAGCAAGATTGATTGGTAAATTTGGGATGGTACCTTTGAGACTGTTGTAAGAAATATTCATCTCACGTATAGATTGTAACTTGTTCCAAAACCAATCTGGTACATAGTCATCAATCTCAGTATCAGAAATATCTAGACAGTTCAAGTAACCTTGAGTATGCAACCAACTTGGGAAACTAGGACACAATTTGCAAGAAGCAAGTCGCAAATAAACTAATTGGAAAGTTGGAATCCAGGTAGTACCAAACCTCACAGACAACGAGTTGTCTGATAAGTCTAATTTCTCCAATTTGGACAAATTTGTGAGATGCAATTCGTTAACATCACCCTCAAAGTAATTCTCCTTCAGGTGGAGCTCTTCCAACTCGTCTAGCAACCCAATGCTTTTAGGTATTTCTCCTTTTAACTGATTATTGGAAAGATCTAACATCCTCAAAGATGAACAAATTGAAAGATTATCTAGATTTCCACCAATCTTGTTATGAGATAAATCCAAAATCTGAAATACGTGTCTGTTGCACCATGAAGAATTTTGAATGAAGTTTGAAATTTCCCCACTCAAGTTGTTATTGTCAAGGTGTAATTCCTGCAATGTGCATATATTCCCAAAGGAAACTGGAATCTCACCTTGTAGTTTGTTAGTATTAAGGGAAAGAATTTCAAGAGACTTCATTGTTGTCCCAAATTCATCTGGAATGGAACCTTCTAACAAGTTTTCATCAAGGTAAAGGCTTCGAAGATTGGGGAGGAAGTTTAAAATCCAATGAAATATAGTCGATTATTTCAATAAATTATAGGAGAGATCAATAAAGACAAGTGAAGATGAAGAATTCTCAATGGAAGTAGTAGATGACAGAACAAAATTTTTATCAGTAAGACCACAATTTTGTAAATGAAGTTCTTGTAGTTTGGAGCTAAAGTTGAAATTTTCTTGAAATATTGATGACATGAAATTATTATCAGAGAGATCAATGATCACAATATTTTGCAATTAAAATTTTAATTAATTAATTTATTAATTTCATATAACAGTAAATAAGTGTTATAAATATTAAAATTAAATATAAATGAAGAATAAAATTACTTATTTTATAAATTTAGCTATTATCAACTTATTCTACAGTAAAAACATCATCATTAAAAAATAAACTTTGATAAAAAAATCAAAATCACATATTTAAAAAAATATATCAAATTAAAAATATAAAAGTTAAAAATTAATTTAAAAAAATAACCATATTTATCTCTCAAATTTTGTAGGAGTATGAATGCGAAAAGCCATTTTATTCTATGGTCTTTCCTTAAGATTTTATTATCTAGAATTTGGTGTCATTTTTGAGAGAAAAATAAAAATATTATAATTTAAAGAAAAAGTAATATTATAATTTATGTATTTGTTTTAAAAATAGTAAAATTATATAAAAAAAAAGTAAATATATTTAAAAATTAAAAATTAAAAATAAAATAATAATTTTAAAAAATTAATTATTTATAATAATAACGTAGATATAGATGGCGAAAGAGTACCTTGATTTGATTTGAAGTTTATTTGCAATTTCAATTACGATGTTACGTGGAGCATTTTCGATTTTATTTGATTATAACAACTTTGCTTACTTATCGCATTGGCTTATTCTAATTATAATTTTCAAACAAATTCGCAGAAGTTTCCGTTTGAGTAAATACATTAAAATATGGTTAAATAAAAAAAATTTAAATTATGAAAAAACATAGATTCATTTACTAATTTACTCTTCGTTCTCATGTTAAAATGAATTATTATTTTATATTATTAAATTAAGAAAATAAATAAATAAATTTCTAATTTTTGAAGTTAAATAATTATCCTTGTAATAATTATTAAACAGGTGAACTCACTTTGTTGCGAGTCAGAAATTTCACAACCTGACTCAATCTATTATGGGACTGAACGCAATGACAAGTGGTACTGAACGCAATGACAAGTGGTACAACAAACTCTGTAATACAATTGAAATACGATAAACATTATGGTATAATTGAAACACAATAACGTGGTGATGCGATAAATGCACTGGTGCGACGAATGCAGTGGCGTGGTAAATGTTGTGGCGCGATTAAAATACGAGACTGAAACGTTATAACGTTGACATGTCAAAAGCTATGAAATGATTGAAACGCGAAACTAAAACGTCACATACATCGTTATAACTTAATTGATGATAAACTTAAATGAGAATTTGACTTATAGTGGCTGCATGGAATAGAAGTGGAGAAAAAAAAAATCAATTAAAACTTCTAAATTATTAATAATTATTTTTAAAGTAAAAAAAAATTGACCATACCCCAACTCGAAGGAGCTTAAAAAAAAACAAACCCAACTCAACTCGAACCTACAATTAACCGAGTTAACTTACATGTTATAACTCATATTGCCACCTCTAATTATATATTCAGTTAATAATTTGAAATTTTGATTATTGAAAAGTAATTAGTATAATCAATATTTAATTATTAAATACTTTATATTTCTAATATAATATTAATAATAACCACTCTTAAAAACAATCAATTATTTATCTTAAATCTATTATAACATTCAATCAAAATGTAATCCCATTTTAATTATTATTCTTATTTTATTAATAATTTATTGACTTATCTCAATATCATTTGAGATGGATCTTCATTCATTTTCATTATTTTTATTTTATTATTCATGTCAAATATAATTTAGCAGGTAAATCTCCATTTAGTGTTTAATCATACCATATTAATAGAAAATTCATTCCTCATCATTATATGCATGAGCATTAATATATTTTGGAGTTCTCGCCGCACACATTTAAAAATAAAAAAATGAAACTAAACCAAACCATATAAAAAAATTAGTTTATTTAAAAACTAAAAACTGAAACTAAATTTAGTTTTTCAGTTTTGAAAAACTAACAATTAAAAAATATTTTAATTATTATCAAACAATTTAAAAAAATTTAAAAAGCAACAAAAAAAATTCAACTAGTCCAACTGTCTCTAAATATATCTTACACTACAAAAAAAAGCCTATTACCTACGGCAAAAATCCGTAGGTAATGGCAAAAATCCGTAGGTAATGTCATTTTACCTACGAATTTTTTTCCGTAGAAAATCCGTAGGTAATATGGTCGTAGGTAATTACCTACGGAATTACTATCCGTAGGTAATGTCATCCGTGGGTAATTACTTACGGATTGCAATCCGTAGGTAATTACCCACGAACAGAATCCGTAGGTAATTACCTACGGATTGCAATCCGTAGGTAATTACCTCATTCAAAATCCGTAGGTAAATCCGTAGGAAAATCACTAAGTAAATTTATAAAATTTTATCACCACCAATTTAACTAAATTTTACCTGTTACATGCATATTACACATAAAATATTTAGATATCAAATTTAACAATATTCCATAATATTTATATGCACCAAATGCATATTCAGATATCAAACACAAATCCTAATATTAGCATGCATCAAGTAGTCCTTCAAATATCTAAGAACATACAAATCCAAAGAAGTACTATAATAAATATTATGACAATATTGTTTGAGTGTCCTAATAATTATAGTAATGTCCTTGTTCATCTTGAGGCTGCTCTACGAAAGCTGGTTCATTTTGTGATTGTTGTTGCTGCTCTTCCTGCACTTGCTGCTCCTGTTGTGATTGTTGTTGTGATTGTTGTTGTGATCCTTGTTGGGAATGTTGTTGTTGAAATGCTTGTCGGGCATCAGGATCATACTTGCTGCAATGTAAAAGCCTTTGTATCCCCCATGCAATGCGGGCAGGCTAGTTTACCTTGAGTCCTCCAACCTGACAACATACCATATGCAGGAAAATCATTAATAGTCCACATCAAACTAGCCCTCATTACAAAATTTTGTTTCCTTGAAAATATCATATGTTTCAACTCCTCTCCACAATTGCATCAGATCATCAATCAAAGGTTGTAAATACACATCAATACATGAAGCATGTGTCTCATTTTTGTTAGCATGAGGCATTTCCTCACCGTGATCAACCCAAACATAATAATCAGGCATGAAACCATTTTTATAAAGGTGAAGTTTAACCATTTCCATTGGCAAGATCTTTGTACATTGACATTTATTGCATGGACATCTCGTTTGGCCTTCATTTTGATAACAAACTTGTTGAGAAGCTTTCATGACAAACTCTTCAACGCCATCAACAAAACTTTGTTTTAAACCACCTCTATTACTATGGCTTCGATCATACATCCAATAGCGATTTGCATAAAATTGATCCATGTTCTACAAGTATTCAGTAGTGAACATTTAATTCTCTTGGATTGCCTAGTTTTGAGTATTACCAAACTGTAGTTGAGTTTGTGAATTGAGATTTGTCGGGAGGTTTACTATATTGATTGATATATAAACACTTTAGAAACAAAATGGAATGCAATACTGAAGAATAATTATAAAAGACAGCAATTAATGTCAAAAATATCAATGAGAATTATCATTTCACAACTGGTGTAAGATACAACTTCCATAAGTTAAGAAAACACAAAAAGAATACAACACCACGAGTAAACTCCTCTCAATATGCATTTGTAAGGTGGAAACACATTCTTAACTCACCCACCAAGAAACTAAGCCACAGAGACATGAACCAAGCCAATAGGACTTGGATAACACCAGACTCAACCTCATCAAGTGAAAACCACAGATTCAAGCCAAACTAAACAGAAATAACGGTACAAAAAACCTTAATAAACCAAGATCTTATTCAACTAACAAAGCCACCAATTCAATGATTCATATGCAAATAAACCAGACCCCGGCTTAATAGTTAACTAAGCAGAACAGTTCAGACTCCAAAAAATGTGAAAGAAATAGGATTAAAGCATAATACCAGGCTTAACTCGCTGCCTCTAGCTCTAGCTCACAGCGAGCTCAGTCGCACAATGGGGGTGGGCTGGAGCGAGGAGGCGGTGACCGCAGCCGGCCTCGAGGTGACTCAAGTTCCAGGCTGCAGGGATGCTACGCGACAGGGGGTGTGGTGGCGTCTTGGCCTAGAGGTTGATTTGCGGCTGGATTCGCGGTGGCCGGCTATGGGCAGTGGTGCGCGGTGGTTTGGGGCGAAGAGAAAGATTCAACACAGGAGGGAAGTGGAGCAGAGTGGAGACGTTAGTGGTGAGGAGTTGGGGTTGGGACGCTCGATGGTGGTGGTTGTCGTGGATGACGAGGGGCTTTGGTGGAGGTTGGATTAGGGTGAGGCCGCGACTGCGACTTGGCCTTGCGGTGGCTCGACGAAGGGGACGACGAAGTGGGGTGCTCGAGAGTGGGGAGGCTGCAGCTAGGGTTCTGGTGAAGGAGGTGGGTGGCGGGTTATAGAGGAGGTTAGTGAAATTGAGGGAGACGAAGGAAGGAGTTAGGGAGCTTGAGTGAGGCGCGGATGCGGGGGTCATAGAAAGTAAGGCTTTCTACGTCGGTTCCTAATAACCGACGTAGAAAGTAAGACTTTCTACGTCGGTTCCTAGGAACCGACGTAGAAAGCCTTTCTATGAGCTACTTTGATCGGCCAAACTGGTTCTGATCGGTCATAGGATGACTTTCTACGTCGGTTATTCAGGGAACCGACGTAGAAAGTCCTACTTTGTATGAGCAATTCTGATCGGTCATAACTTGTTC